TGCTACTTAGCAATGTATCAGACTATTAATATATTTTTCTACCCTCAAATCACATGTTTAGAATCATTTGACATTTTTTGGGGCGCCTGGGTGGCTCAGTCGGTTAAGCGTCCGACTTCGGCTCAGGTCATAATCTCATGGTTCGTGGGTTCAAGGCCCACGTCGGCCTCTGTGCTGACAGCTAGCTCAGAGCCTGGATCCTGCTTTGGATTCTGTATCTCCCTCGCTCTCTGACCCTCCTCTGCTCACGCTGCCTCTCTCTCTCTCACAGAAATAAAACATTAAAAAAAATCATTTGACACTTTTCAAAATGATAAAGTATAAATTAAAAGTCTGCTTAAACAAAGTGACATTGCTTGTGTCATCCTCATCAGTTCAGAAGAATGTATATAGACATAAGTGGTCACTGTGTAGTAAGGAATTTGACCTTACCCAAAGTTCCAGCCTACATCTTTAGCACCTCACACCTGTAATTTATGCTAATAAGATGACTCAGGATGAGCCCCTATAACTTGATGTCAGTCAGTTTTCCAGGGATGGGCAGAGCTAGAAAGTTCAACCATGTGCGCAAAGAATCAATCATGCCAAGTAAGAAAGCTTCAATAAAAATTTGGACACCAAAGCATGAGTGAGCTTTCCTGACTGACAATACTGTGAGTACATTGTGCCCAGTAGTAGATAACACAGTCCATGATTCCACAAGGAGTAAGACACCAGGAATGGAAAGGACAACTGGAGTCTGGACCCCTCCTAGGTTCCACCCTATATGTCTCTTCCTTTGGCTGGCTCAAATTTGTATACTTTCGTGGTAATAAACATGATTGTGAATAGACTAGTTTCGGGGAGTTCTGTCTTTCTATTGAATACACAGAACTGAAGGTGAATTGGAAACTGAACCTCAAGGTGAATTTGGAAAACCCTTAAATTTGTAGTCACCAAGATTCTTTCTACTATAGTACAATTTCACATCTTTGGGATGTGAGGGCAATTTGTTTATTTTTTGCTATTTTCTTTTCTGGAATATATATGTAATCAATCCTGCTTTGAATGAATTCAAAACTTTTCAGAACCATAAGAAAGACCATTTACGAATGCCAGTTGGTCACTGTGTGACTGTTGAATGGCAGTAGTTACCATAAGATAGGATTAGGAGGTGTGTTTGCATGGCATTGAGATTTGAGGATTGTGGTATACTTCCCACAAAAGAAGTATTCCAATCCCAAAAAAAAGTAAAGATATTTCACAAGAAGAAACCAAAGAAAAGTATACACTAATAAAATAAAATTAAATAAAATATTGATATTCTTTAGCGATTGTTTAAGACAAAGCATTGTGTACAATTTTGTACAATGATATTGCACTAATAGAGGTGGGAATGAAATCTTTTATATTGCAAATCATTTGCTCTCTATGCACTGAATTGATAGTCACAATAAAGCAATTACATTCAAATTATGAAAAAAATATCAATTACTATAATTACTTAATCTTGAGGCTGGCAAACAGATAATTTATTTAAAATAACAAAAAGATTAGGTTATTATCACACAGGTAGAGAAGTTCTAAATAGTTCAAATAAAACCCAGTGTTTCATGCTAGAACACAGGCTAGAAAAAAGGAAGGGAGATCTTTTACATGATAAAGGTAATCAAAGAGGTATGGAAAAGATCAGGAAGTCATTTCTGATATATAGAAATGAATCTAATTCATGGTTAAGTCAAACACAGGTAAAAAGGGAAACAAGGATTATAGGAAGACATTTACAGAGAGTTAATTATGAAAATAATGTTTTTCATAAATCTATTAAATACATAACTGCATACCAAAAAATGACAAAGAGAAATTTATCAATTAAAAAGCCATTTAACAAAAGACCAATTTATACATTTTTCTAATTATGTCCATAGAAAATTTAAATATACAAATCACATTCCCATACTCAAAGGAATCTTTCTAAACAAATGAAACAGACATATAAACAAAATCAGAATTCAAATCATTAAAAAAATATTTTAAAAATCACAGTAAATTATATCTCATAATAAGAAATAAAACAAAATGACAGCTATACACATTTGTTAAAGTTTTAAAAGCTCAATGATGGAGCAACGGTGCATAATTTATTTAAATAAGTACTGTTTACTAATGATTATATACCTATTTTAATATTAGATAATGGATTTAAAGAGCAAATGTTGAAACACCCAAAAAATTGAATTATAGTTATTCTTAAAATGTTAATTTTCCCATGTGTCCAAAGTTGTGAATTACAGTAATATCCTCCAGAAAAGTCAGGTATTTGGTAAAGCAAGGCACATAGGACCAGATTTTGATAAAGGTGCTTTTTCTTTGGTCCTGTTATTACTTTAAATATGCTACATATCTGGATGATTCTTAAGATGACTTTCAATATAGCATAAATAACTTTTATAAACCTTTTCTTATGTAAAGCATACATCCATGTGTAATTAAATATTATAACAATGAAAGTGTAAATAAAACAAGAGATGCTAAAACCCTATTTTTAAAAACAAAACTCAGTTGAATGACTATATAATGACATTTTAAAAGTCCAATAATTTGATATGTCAGAAAACTGTATCAGTTCTTAAAAGTAATCAATAGTACATTAAATCTACTGGGCACAAAGTCAATTGGTTTCTTTTCAAATTCTGTCTCCTTAGAATCTAGTTTAAATATCAAGCTACTTTTCTCTCTATGAAATTGTGACATTCAATATAAATTGATGTAAACATTCAAATTTTGCATCTCTAACTACAGTTTCCACCATAAAAGTAGCCTACAACTTCTCTAAAAATACTGAAGAACTGGTGATGCTACTGTGAAACATCTACATGTTGAATTTCAAACTTTTCTTCCCAAATACCATATTCTTAATTTTTAATAGAACCATCAGCTGGCACTCTTCTCCCATGAATTAGCATATTTTTATAATGAACAAAGTAGTTAAGAGATAACACGTAAACTTTAAAAAGTAAGAATTTAAATAATCAAGGAGTCATCATTATAAAAGATTGATACAATAAGGCTTTTGGAGGTCATCAGAACACACACACCACACACAGGAAAATGGCATTATCTGTATATATAACATGATCTAGGCTACAGGCCCATCTTCAAACATGGTTCTTTCTTTATGAATTAAAAATTATAAGCTACATAACCCAATCTATAATAACATCTTCGAACCTATAAGCAAAGCTTGCCTATTAAAACTTTGCTTTGAAAATATGCTTTAGACTATTTTGTCCTTTGTCACAATTCTTGATTATATTTTTTATAAGCTTTATTGAGAATCTTGAAAATTGTGTTATTTTGGAAACCTAAAAATATATTATGGTAACTAACCTGTCTGGTTTCTAGTATTTGCTTATATCACTTTTTTAAGGGACAGACTAAACCTGAATTAACAATTAGCTGTAAATGTGCACTGAATTAATATGTAAGTGCCCAACTAGTACTTCAATGTGGGCTAAACATAAATCTTCATGTTTACTCTTGAATTCTGTGCATTTGCAGGATTTAGATTTCACTTAGCAGTAGGCAGTAAGATGGAAGTCAGAATGGTGTCAAAAACACCTTGCTCAAAATGTGGTAAATTTATTAAACAAATACTCTAAAAGATGGTCACTAAAAATCATGTCAAGCTTCCAGAAAGTTTGGTTAGTGCCAGTTTGAAATTACCAGTAAACTGACTTAAACTATTTTGTAACTTTAAACACTTTTAAACTTTGAATGCAACAGACTAGGCCTGTGTCCTATAGAGACTAGGTCTGCATAAGCAGAGTAACCCAGCCAGTCCTAATTAGCCAAAAGTATCCAACAGTTTGTAACACAGTATTTTTGAGCCAAATTCTATTTGACAAAATCCATTATAACTATATAAAAATATTTCCTTTTCTACAGTTTTTATACTATTAGAATGCGAGACTTTTAAAAATATACAAAGCACAAATGAAAAAATAAAGTAAAATACTTCTTATACACAATAGGAGAATTCTGTCTATATAGTCAATAATTAAATTAAACCCATATTCCAATTTTAGAAAGTATTCTTGCTCACCAATTCACTTTTCATTCTTGCTATATTTTCTCTCCCTTGAACCAACTTATTAAATAACATATGTAATTTACAACCTCAACTCCAGTGCTAATCAAAACGGAAAAGAAACCACTGTCTTAAAGCAAAGTGGTGGTTCCTTCCCAGCAGCTTTTTAGGGCCACAGAAAGGGAACTCAGAATTTGCTACCTCTCCCAGACATGTGACCAGAGTATTTCCGGGGATGAGAGGCCTAAAAAGTTCTTCTGAGCAGCCTTGAGTTATAGCTATGGTGCCATTTAAAATAATGAAATACAGTGGCAATCTGGAATGTCTCTAAGAAAGGTCATTTTGGTTTCAATTCGTTGACATCTATACTACAATCATTTTGGTTGTTGTTTTTAACAGTTGCAGATTAAAGGAAGTTTTTACAGATCAATGAGTAAAATATTCACTTAAAAACATTCTAGTTGTATACAGTATATGCTTTGATAGCTCAAAATTCTCCAAGTGGAGATATTAGACAATAATTATTTTAAATTATTAAACAAGTATTTATTCCCTTTAAATTACATTTTGAAACTTCAGTGGAAATTACTACATATAGAAATTTAAAGTAATACTGAGGATTCATCTGATTTACAGAAAAGAAAAACAGTTAGGAGATTAAGGACAAAACTCCATTAGTGCAAAAGTCTCTGGTTACTCTCTAGCAAGGATTGCTTTCAACAGTTTTGAAGCACTAAAAGATCTTAAAATGTAGATGGAGAAATAGATATGTGTACTTCTCTACATTAAATTTGAATATGAATTGTTTTCTCTGACAAATTAGACCCAGAATGTTAAGTTTATCAAATTTTATATAGTTGAACAAATAACATTAGCAATTCTTTCTTTAGTAATCTTTTGTATAAATATAAAAATCTCAGATACATGAAAATGTTTTTCAAATCATACTTCTATTTCTTCACAGCGTTATAGGCAATTATAATTATAATTTTCAAACTTTGAATATTCCATGTGATTTGATATTTCTGTACAGAAAAAGATAAAAAACATTTAATAAGATTAAATAGATCTAATCTGCAAAAATTGGTATTGGACATTTGTTGTGTGCTCTTGCAAAGAGTGCATAGGACATTTCTGCAGCAATCAAAAGGTAAAATCTTTTTAAACTCAGATTTCAAGTTTTTTCCAATAATTATTCTAATCCCTGGAAGTACTTTCAAGCTTTGATTTCCAGATGTAATAGGTATTTTGTTAACATATACATGTATTTTAGCTTAAACCTTTATATTTTCAAACCATTTGAATATGATGAGATTCAGCATGGTGATATCTTCTTAGAATCTGTAGAAGTCCTCTATTTAAGATTAATGTTGAGACTCCTAGTGCACCATTGTGAGAAACCAGTTAAAGACAGTATATGACTATGCTTTAGTAGGATTGCCTGTAGGTTTGGGATCATAACCATATAGGAAAGTAGCTGTTATTACAAGGATGGCTCCAAGGAAAAAGACACTAAATAGATGAAGAAAAAATGAAAAAGAGAAAATCAGATTAAAAGCAAACAACTTCTATTTCTTCACTTGTAAACACAATTATAATTTGGGGAAAAAAGTTCCAATAAAATGACTAACAAATACTGAACACTTACTACATTCTAGGTATTCAAGCCACATGTTTTACATGCATCATCTCATTTAGTTCTTATAACAACCCTATGAAGAAGTATTAGTATTGCCCTCATTTTTCTTTAATATACAAGAAAACTGAGGGTTAGAGAGTTTAAGTAACTTGCTTAAAATCCCACTTGAAGTGGAAGACAAGATTCAAATACAGGTCCGTCTGACTCTTGAGCCTGTACTTTAATCCACTGCATTGTATTGTCTCCCAAAGCAAAGATGTTTTATGTTGTATTTCCCCTTAATACGTCTATTGCCTACAATACATTGAATAATAGAAGATCTCAATTTTTAAATATTTGAAAATAAAAAGGGAAAAATGGCTTTTTTTTTTTCAGATCAAAGTAAAGTTCAGTTTAAAATCCAAGGTAGTAATAAGCAAAACTCAGAACCAATTTGCATAGGATACTTTACAAAAGGAAATTAGATTAAATCCAAGTATACTTGGTTTATTCTTCATTTTATCTATCCACAGATATAATATACCTTATTATAAACTTGAAATGAGCTTAAACTGGTACTAGAACTTAAAGTGGAGCTAATCTGAATACCAGCCTTAACTTTTAAGATGTATATTCTTCAAAGTGCTATTAGAGACATGTATTCATCTTGTTTTTAAAGTTTCTATTAACAGTTGAAAATCACTCTCCTGCTTTACAACAATAAACATTTGTTCTATAAAGGAAAAAGATCATAACCCTTCTTATGATATAAAGGGCCCTTCCTAATGTGGTCCCTCCAACCTCATCTCCCATACCCCATCCCACCCAATCTATAACTAAGCCACTCCACTCAGTGAGCACAACATGCCTTTCAAGACAGGCTCTTTGTAGATGCTACTCCCTCTGCTTGCAATGTCTTTCTCCCAAGAAAATTGATTATTCATACCTCAGGTCTAATGTCTCCAAGACTCATTCCCCTAGGCAAAAGTATTCTATGATAAGATTTACTGTGCCATATTAAATAAGACATTATTTACATGTCTGCACTCCTGCTTAACCATGTGCTCAACATTCATCATTATACCCCAAGTGCCTAGGATATAGAAGAGCTCAATAATTATCTGCAGTGATAAATATCTAGTGTTGACTTGACATAAATGGGCAACTTTTCAAAAGCCTTGGATGTAGGTACACATGTAAGGTTAAGATAACATAAACTTCTTACAATACACCTTGAAGAAAATTAGTACCATAGGAATATTTACTAATTACTTAGGCTTTGGATAAGCTTCTGACTGAAAACTTTATTTGTCAGGGATTCTGACTTTTGCTTAGCTCTCTGGACCTCTGGAATATATACCCAACTGAAAAGTTGTCTGATCCTCCCTGAAGGAATCCATTCTATGAAATCACTAACAGGATCTACTAGAAAACCTAATAATATCAGGAAACCCCTGCTTGTCAAGACAGCTATTTTTAGATGGTTCTGAGAGAAAAAAATTTCTTGGGGAAAAACTATTAGAGTACAATGATTACTTCAAGGATCTGAACACCTGAATTATAATAGAATTACATATATACTTCAATAATGTATTAATCATAAAGCTCTCATTTATTTATTCACATATCTATCTCTCTAATCAACGTGGCCTCCTTGAAGAGAGGAAACTATATCTCATTCATAGATTTAAGTTTTTCCAGGATCTGGTATAGTGAAAGGAAGACACATAGTAGACACTTAATACATTTTTGATAAAAGAATAAATAAGCCTAAATACAAGGATGGTTAATACTAATAAGCAAAATAATCAACACAAGAAAAATCAGTTAGGAAAGGAAATACTGGTGATGTGATATCAGTAGAGATGGCTAGTAATCAGCCAGAATTAGGGATCTAGATTTGAAGTGAAGTTGGGACCTATCTTCTTAGAAAGGACAGACAAGGCATGGCAGTGGGTGAGATGAATGAGAGTGAATAGGGATTGACAGATTACCAAAGAAGCAGCCAGAAAAGCAAGTACAGGAGTACCACTTCTGAGAAACCAAAGCAAATTAAAAGAAAAAAAAGAAAAGAAAAAAAAAAAAAAAACTAAACAAAACCAAAAACCAAACCAAACCAAAACAAAACACATACACACAAACTAGGTTTTAGGAAGTGAAATGGGAATAGCAATGGAAAATATAGTAATATATTTAGAATAGAGGTCATTGGATTTAATGCTTAAATGAAGATGTTCTTCACAAAAATAAGAATACAGAAAGATAGAAGGACTAATTGTATTTTAGGAAAAATAATCCATCTACTTTATCTGACTCAGTGTCAAAACATTCAGTCATTCAATAATAATGGTATCATTGTCTTTTCTCTTTTTATCTTCATCCCAACATACTTTACAGACCCTCAGAAACATGGATTTACATGCAGGTATGTATCTTATTGACATACCACTATTTTGTCTCTCTACTGATTTCCCTTTTCCTTTACTTGTTCATTCCCTGAGTGATTCAAAGATTTAAAATTAACACCTTATACAAGGTTTTATTTTTTTTAAGGTATGCCTTTTTATTTTATTTTATTTTTTATGTTTTATTTATTTCTGAGAGAGAAAGAGAGAGAGCATAAACAGGGGAGGGTCAGAGAGAGAGGGAAATACAGAATCTGAAACAGGCTCCAGGCTCTGAGCTAGCTGTCAGCACAGAGCCCCAACATGGGACACGGGGCTCGAACCCACGAACCGTGAGATCATGACCTGAGCCGAAGTCGGACGCTTAACTTACTGAGCCACCCAGGTGCCCCTAAGGTATATCTTTTTAAATGTACCTGAAAAATCTACAGTTCCAAACATTTTCAAATATATAAAGCACATAATTTCCCCATTTAATGAATAGAGTAACTGAAGCATAGTTAAGGTATAGATTCTAGTTGTTAGGCGAGTCTCACTAGCTAAGCAGTCCATTCCCATACCAAACTAGAAACAGAAATAATTTTAAATTCAGGCCACAGAAAAATTACAGATCTCAACATGCATGCCCCAGACCTATTGTCCAGGTTGCTACAAGAAGGAAACCATAAATGTTCAATATAGAAATATAAAGGGCATACTACATATTTCTCCTGCCAAATCCCATCCATAATCCTATCTCACTCTCAATGACGCAAATGAATTTTACTAGCTATATTAAAATTTTAAGATCTTGAACATTCATTCAAAGACACAGAGTACCTCATATAGGCCAACTTTGGCCTTGCTGACTTTTAAGATGGTAATAAACCTTCTGAAGAAAGGAGGAAGGAATGTTAGAACTGAGGGGGATGCTCTTTTATTTCAAGAGTTCTCCTGATTAAGTAACATTTGAACCAAGACCTGAGGATGTGAGAGAGTTTGTCATGTGAATACATAGGAGATGAGTGTTCCAAAATGACTGAAGAACAAGTCAAAGCCTATAGCTAAGAGATTACTGTAACTTAAAAATAAGAAGTGAAAAAGAGTAAAGTAGTATCAGATTATCGGATGAGGACAGAAAAATAGCTGAGGGTCACATCAAATAGGTAATTAATGATGACAACTTTTAGGTGACATGGGAAGCAGAAAGTTTCTGAACAGAATGGTCATATGATCTAATTTACTAAGTGGAGAAAAGTGTAGGGGCACAGAGCAAGAGAAGAAGCAAGAAGATACATCAAGAGATTATTTTCTTAATCAAGATGATAAATGAGTATGCCCTGGACCCGGATGGTAGCAATGAAGTTGTAAGGAAGTTACTTCTTACTTCACTCAGAAGATTAAGAACTTCCCTACATTTGAGCTTTCCTTTCTAAGTCTATCCACATCCATACCTATAGACTCTGCCTTCTCTTAGGTTACTATGGATAAACTGTGTTCCTATTTAAGTCAAGGAAGATTTTGGCCTAAGCAACTAACTGGAAGAATGGAGGAGCTGCCATTTACTAAATTGGGAAAACCTTATAGGGATAGGGAATGAATTATGTAGTAGACATTCAAGTGAAAATGTCAAATAGGCAATTAAATACACAAGCTTGGAATTGAAATTAAAATGTGAAAGTTATTAGCATATAGATGGTATTTAAAGCCTTGAGAATAGAGATCACCTAAGGGAGTGAGTGTAAATAAGAGGTCCAAGGGCAGATCCTTCAGAGCCTCCAAAGTTTAGAAATTGAGAAGATGAGGAGGGGAGTGAAGTTAGAGGAAAACCAAGTATAGCATCCTGGAATCCATTAAAATATAATCTTATTATTTTGGAATTATAAATTAATAATTATTTTAAAAATGATAGGACCTTCAATACCATCTGTGTTTATACTTCATTCTTCCTAACTCCATCTCCTTCCTTGGCATCCAGGACACTACACATCCTGGGTCTTCTGCCTTCCCTTGCAATTCCCTTCCCAACCACTCTTCTTCCAGCCACCATCCAAAACAGTTTTCTCTGGCACCACATTCTGTATGTTAACTATTCTCTTCAAGAATGTCATCTACTCTCCTGGTTTTATCTATATAGATTCCACACATAAAAACCCATTATATTGCTTACTTTATGACTTTATATGACTTATTAACTTTTTTATAGGACTTTTTACTTTGGAGAAAAGGGTTTGGAAAAATTTTTTCAACCTGTTGGGAAAATTCTGGCTACCCAAATTTGTATAAAAACTTTCCAGTGGGAGATTTTCTCTTATGCATTTAGTTTGAAATCTTTTTTTAAAAGACAATTAAAAGGATCCTTTACTATATTTCCATGAATCTTCAAAAGTTGTAATAAAACAAAATTTTTCACACCAAATCTTATTAAGAATTCTTATTTTCTATATATTTTGGAGACTTAAAGAAATAGAAAAGAATGTATTACCTGGTTGGCACAAAATCTTGTAGCCAAAAATAGGATATCAATGTTGATAGTATTATGGATAAAGACGTTGCAAATCCTTTTAAAATATTATCTGCATATTTAATAACAGCAGCTATTACAAGGCCTCCAAGTGCCTGCAAAAGTATTAAAAGATTATTTTAAACAAACATATATAAAATCGCTTTTCAAAACAATCTCAATATTCAATGAAACTATTAGGCTTTTGTCCTATACATTTAATCCCATTATAATAAATGATTTTTATTTTTTAATTTAAAAAATTTAATGTTTATTTATTTTGGGGAGAGAAAGACAGTAAGTGGGGGAGGAACAGAGAGAGAGAGAGGAGGAGACAGAGAATCCAAAGCAGGCTCCTAACTGTCAGCAAAAAGCCTGACATGGGGCTCAAACCCATGAACCATGAGATCATTACCTGAACAGAAGTCAGATACTCAACCAACTAAGCCACCCAGGTGACACTTAAAAATTTTTAAATGTTTATTTATTTATTTTGAGAGAGAGAGAGCAGGGGAGGAGCAGAGAGAGAAAGAGAAAGAGAATCCCAAGCTGGCTCCACAGTATCAGTGCAGAGACCAACATGGGGCTCGAACTCATGAACTGTGAAATCATGCCTGAGCAGAAATCGAGAGTTGGACACTTACCCGATTAAGCCACCCAGGTGCCCCATTAAGTGATTTTTATTAAATATCTCTTATAACCATAGGGTTTTGTTCAATAGCCCTTTTATTTCAAAAGTTACTTGAAGTAACTACCAGCATAATCTGTAGTTTGTTAGTTTAACTGTATTGTAAATAAAACATCTATCCTCAACCAATTTAGTAATTAAACATCACTTGTTCAGACAAATGTGAGAAGACTGTCACTCAGATCAATGAAACATTCTTACTTTTGAAGTAAAAATAAAGTATAATTTAAGTTATTTTACTAGCTTTTCAATAGGCTCCTAAGTTGGCTTCTTTCCTCTAGCTTCTTGTCCTTCAATCCCCTTTTTATTGCTGTCAGACTACTCTACCTGAAAAAATTATAGAAAGAACTTTCTGCCAAATACCTCTCAAATTCCAAATTGTGCCTGCTTAAATTATGAGGGTTTTAGCATACAACACAGTTTTGTTTTCTGCCAAACTCTAGTTATAAACTCCTAAATCTGGGTTACCCATGTTAACAAATTCGTCACAAGACAGAAGCTTATTATTAGTGAAAGTCACAAATTATGCTAATTGAGCTCACTACAAATTGATGTGTGAGTCCCATTACCTCCTGGCAATGTAGTCATTCATCTATTTAGTCTCTATTGAATCATACCAACTATACCAAACCTTCTTTATTTAAAGTCTTCTAGGAAGAGCTTCCTTCTGCTAGGATAAAAGCCATCAAACAAACTTGCCTGACTTACCCTATCTCTATTTTATATTTCTTCTGAATTTCCATTTATCCTTGCCTCCTCTTCTCCTATCTTAAAAATAGAAGTATATTTCCTAAGTCAGGCAGAGAAGGACAAATATCATATGTTTGCACGTAAAGGAGGATTAGGAGGAACTTGACGGAGGAACAAGGGGGAGAAGAAGGGCGGAAATGGTGGGGGAAAGGGAGAGAGGCAAACCATGAGAGACTCTTGAATGCTGACAAAAACTGAGGACGGATGGATGTGGCGGGGAGGAGGGATGGGCATGGAGGAGGACACTTGTGGGGATGAGCACTGAGTGTTATGTGGAAACTAATTTGACAATAAACTATTTGTAAAAAAAAAAAAAATGAATATAATGAACAATGGTAAAAATAAAAAAAAGATGAAATGAGTTTCTGGGTTGGTGCACTCATGGAGGTACTGGGAGTTGGTGTGTCCAGAGTGGGCTTGGAAGCTCCTCACTTCCCCTCCCATACCTTGCCTTATGCATCTCTTCTATCTCACTATTCCTGGGTTGCGTCTTTTATAATAAACCAGAAAACCTAGGTAAAGTGCAAAAAAAAAAAAAAAAAGAAGTATATTTCCTGCTTTCAAAACACAACTACGATTTGCCACCTTTACCCAAATTCTGTAAGAGACCTTGCCTCTTACAGCTTCAAATACCTCTAAAGAAAGGCTTTGTGAGGGCAGTGACTTGTATCTTCACTTTTACATCCTCCAGAGTAATCAAGGTGTTTTTTTTTTTATGATGAAATTACTCAACTCTTGAATAATTTCAAATTATAAACTGAGATAATTTGATAGGAATATTTTAATATGTGTTACAGATTTAATTATCTTGATCTGCTTTTGAGCCTTAATGGGCTGATCACAACTTACTGTACAATGACAAGAACTGTAAAAAAAAAAAACAAAAAAAAACCCTAAAGTTATATTTACCTTCAACTTCAAGTCCTTTAGTCTTAAACTTGCATTTTCATTATGTCAAATTTAAATACCACAAAGTTCATTTATGACCTTTTCAAAGTAAGTTTTCATTATAACATTAAGACCGGTTCTATTTTAACTTCCCTGAATAAACTAGATATAATGAGAGCACCAACAGGAGGGATCTTTTTCTCTCACGTCGTACATCAGTAGCTACTCTGATTCTCTTTATTAAAATAAAGCTTATTAGCATTAAATATAAGACTTTATTTATTTATTTTTATTTTAATGCTTTATTTATTTCTGAGAGAGAGAGAGAGAGAGAGAGACAGCGTGAGCAGGGGAACATCAGAGAGACAGGGAGACACAGAATCTGAAACAGGCTCCAGGCTCTGAGCTGGCTGTCAGCACAGAGCCCGACGCAGGGCTCGAACCCATGAACTGTGAGATCATGACCTTAGCCAAAGTCTGACGCTTAACTGACTAAGCCACCCACATGCCCCTAAATATAAGACTTTAAATGCTTTACCTGAAGAATAACAACTATCCAAGTCAGTTGGTTATATCCCTGAAAAAATCCATTCTTTGACACCAATTCTCCATCATAAATGTACACACCCATTAATCCAAATATACTCCCAAAGAAACCTAAAAAAAAAAAAAAAATTACGGCATGTGTCATTTAGTTTGTCTGGAGAGATATTTTTGCATTGATGTTCTAAAATTTATATTTTAGCTTTTCCTTTTTTATGAAATTTGATAACTATAAAAATCTTTCACTTGGTTATTTATATAAGCCTAACAAAATTAAACTTTGTACTACATTATGACTATAAGGCACAGACAGGAGAATATAAAAAAGAACAGAGATTACCAACCCTGGTAATGTTTAAATCACATGACCACATGGCTGTCTCATTCAAATATCTGAAAAATGCTCACTTTTGGCCTTTTCATTGTGTCTCATATCTTCCTATTGCAAGCTCTACATTCTTATCTATTCATATTCACATACGTAGACATAAAAGCTGAGGTATGTGGCACAGCATTTTTCCTTCTTAAGAAGTTCTGAAAGTACCACAAGTAATATCCAAAAATTCAAAGCTAAGAAATAGTCGGGCAACATCAGAAGCTGTCATTACTAAAGCCTCGAGGTTAAGGAAAGCCTGCTCAGTGTCAGGAGAAACTGTGTCTTCTTCCCTGCTGCGTTCCTTAGTTCTACCACAGAGCTGATCACATTGCCGTGGGACCTACGAGATTTCCAGGCGCGATCCTAAACTGTAAAGAAAGAAACGGATGCCAGTAGGGCTGCTTGTTAGGAGTAGTCTCTGGTATGACATGCAGTCAGAGTGTAGGATGAGGCAGTTTTTATAAAGCCATAACTACTTGAAGTATTCCATGATGGAAAGGAACTGAAAGGATAGGAAATGTTCTTTTAATTTTATTTATGCCAACTTGATCGTTTTTTAATTAAGTTTTTAATTTTAATTCCAATATAGTTAACATACAGTGTTATATTAGTTTCAGATATACATCAGTCATTTTAAGATGTCTAATTTTGAACATGAACGTAATACAAATTTACAAAATTACAAAAATACAAAATACAAAAAGAAACACATGAGTATTAGGTTTCTATTTTTTAATTATAAAACAACATTTGAAAATTAGGAAAATAGGATACACTACAGAAGCTTATATACATGTCAATGTATACAGATCTACAGCATTCTATCAGTTGTGCAATATTCCATTTATGGATGATAATAATAATAAAATACTTATATAACATGATCTTCCACAAATTGTTCTAAGTGCTTTATGTATGTTAACTTACAACAACCCTATTGGGTAGATACTCTTATTCCCATGTTATAGATGAAGAAACTGATACATAGAGAAGTTAAATAAACTTGCCTTGGCTCACACCGCTGCTAAGTGACGGACTCAGGATTTGAATCTAGTCAGTGTAGCTCTGGACTCCATGACCTTAATCACTGCACTATTTAATCATACTGATCATACTGATCATTTATTTGAGTAATATTCTACGTGCTATTTTTTACAATTGCAACCAATGTTAAAATGAATAACCTTGATCTATCTTTGTATTCTTGTGTAAGTATACCTGTAGGATAAATTCTTATTCAGAAGTGGAATTTTTGCATCAAAACATTTATTTAAAATTTTGTTAAATACTCCCAAATTGAGATACAGTAAGGTTATTAGAATCTATATTCCTGGCAACCATAGGTAATACGAGTTCCTATTTCTCCATCTCTGGCTAATATTGGACCTTATCAATTTGCTAATAGTTGACAGTTTGATACTTGAAAAATGCTATTAAATTGTTTTAATTTGTGTTTTTATAATCTCAAGTTATCTATAACTTATTTATATATCCTTTACAAAACTTTTACTTAGCTTACCATTCATGTGTTATGAGGTCAAATTAGAACCCATTAAGCACCATAAAATTATGAATTCGGGCTTTTCATTCTTATAATTCAAGAAAATGTGGGCAACAACAGAAACTTTCATTTCTTTCTTTCCTGATATTTGCATATTTATATAAATAGCTGACCTTAGTGCTTACTATGCAAGGCACTTTATTCTAAACACTTCACAAGTATTAACTCATTTAATCCTCATAGCAACATATGGAGTAAGTACTATAATTAAGTACATTTTATTGATGAGGAAAGTGAAGCAGAGGAAGATTAAGTAACTTCCCTAAGGCCACATAGGTGGCAAATGATGAAATCGGAATTTGAGTGGTCTGACTATAAAATCAAGTGTGCTTATTTACCATACTATAGATATACTATTTCTGAAATGGTGAATTACATTGGTTGGTGCTTCTTAAGGCTGTGTACTTGCCTTCTAGACAAACCAAACACAAAAAGAGCTAACTTAATCTTTAAAAGTATTTACTTTGAATACTCTTTTTTAAAAAATGTTTATTTGTTTTTGAGAGAGAGAGAGAGAGTGCGTGAGAACACGTGTGTGAGCAGGGGAGGGGCATAGAGAAAAGGAGGACAGAGGATCTGAAGCAGGCTCTGTGCTGACAGCAATGCTGGGCTCGAACTCACAAACTGTGAGATCATGACCTGAGCCAAAATCAAGAGTCTGATGCTTAACCTATTGAGCCATCCACATGCCCCTACTTTGAATATTCTTAAAAAACAAAAAAACAGAGAAACTGAAACAAATTCTATGTGATAAATACGAAGGTTCAGTTTGTTATCACATTACTTGAAAACAGCTGGAAAAATGGAAGAATCAAATTTGGAAGGTTTGTTTGGGAACGTTTAACTTAAAGTACAGGCCATTAGGCGTAGACATTCACTGTGGACAGCCTGACTGCTACCAGGAGAGATACGGTATATTTGTTAAGTTGATGTAGACAAAAAAACAAAACACAGTTTTCAAAGATGAGTTCTAAAATCACAGGAACAGGGGTGCCTGGGGGGTTCAGTCGGTTAAGCGCCAACTTCCGCTCAGGTCACGATCTCACAGTTTGTGGGTTCAAGCCCTGCCTCAGGCTCTGTGCTGACAGCGTGGAGCCTGGAGCCTGCTTCAGATTCTGTGTCTTCCTCTCTCTCTGCCCCTTCCCTGCTCACACTCTTGTCTCTCTCTCTCTCAAAAATAAATAAACGTTTAAAAAAAATTTTTTTTAAAGACTAAAAGCAACTTTAAAAAAAAAGTCACAAGGACAGACTTGAAATAGAATGGTTGATTTGCAACGAAGCTATCTCTCACATGCAGCATTTTCTAAAACTAATATACACCTGGAATACTAAATCTGGAATATTGTAGTAGTTTAAATATTTACTCAAATGAAATCCTTAAGTATGTGAGGTCTTTCTGTTATAAACTATTTACCTTCAGTTAGCAAAATTACTACAGAATTTAAAAGCTAAAACATAATATTTTAAAATAAAAAGGTATACTAAAATTTTAAAACAAAGATGAAAGTTTCATCATTTCAAACTTTTTCCATAAGTATCTTTTTTTTTCTTTTTCAGCTTTATTGAGATAAAATTGACAAGTAAAATTGTAAGGTATTTAAAGGGTATGTCTTAGGTTGAAATATAATATGGTGACTATAGTTGACAATACTGTATCATATAATTGACATTTGCCAAGTATCTTAATCTCCTTTCCCTCTCAGGGAGAGAATATGTTATTTGTAACACCTTCTCTGAGAATTGTAGCAACCAAGAAGAAAGTTCCTGAGTCTTCAAATAGTGAGGACAGAAACAGGCTATATACACACTTATGTCACAGACCTAAAATTCCATATTCTTGAATAAAGGCATTCATTTAAAACTCAATGCTTTTGGGTGTTGTTTTTTAGATACAATGTTTTTGGGGGGAGGGAGAGAAAGAGAAAGAGGGAGAGAGAGAATCTTAAGCAGCCTCCATGGCCAGCACTGAGGACTCAGGACTCAGAGCTCCATCTCACAACTATGATGAAATCATGACCTGAACCAAAATCAACAGTTGGATACTTAACCAACTGAGCCACTTAGACGCTCCTTAAGTATAATGTTTTAAAAAGCAAAGACCTTGCCAGATATTTGTATCAATGAGATTTTATGGGAGACTTATTTATTTAAATTGTTTTATGTCTTATTTTGAGAGACAGTGAGTGAGTGGGGGAGGGGCAGAGAGAGAGGAAGACAGAATCTGAAGCAGGCTCCAGGTTCTAAGCTATCAGCACAGAGCCAACGCAGGGCTTGAACCCATGGACTGTGAGGCCATGACTTGAGCCGAAGTCGCACGTTCAACCGACTGAGCCACCCAGGCACCCCGGGAGGCTGATTTATTTAAGATATATAGTAATCTTTAAGTCTAACTTTAAAAAATATCATTAAAAAAAAAACATTAGAAAGCATTTAAAACTTACCAAGTTGAATGTTTCTTATCCAAACTGATTGTTTGGTTTCTTTTAAGATTTTCTCAAAGTAAACCCCAGCGAAGCCACTTGAAAAACATGCTGTGAGAACTGCCATGAGGCCTACAAATTGAGAGCCAGCTGAAAGTTCCTTAGAATCTGGTTCCTGCGAATCTGAGGGCCACTGAACAAGAAGAAAAATGAAACTGGAGTTTATTCTTACGATATTTTACAAAGTACATATTTAGAGTGCACTCTCAGACTTTAAGATAAAAATGCAACCAATACCATTCTTGGGGATTGCAAAGGAGAGCTTCTGAAAGAAAGCCTTAGAATCATTTTATTTTTTTCCCATAGTGATATTACTGTTACAACTTACAATTTTAAAAAATTCCCTAAAAAAGAGAAAGAGAATGAGCAAATGCACAGATGCACAAAACAGCTTCTATAAGCAGTTCAGTTGTAGAAATTCAGAGTGTGAACTGTTAGAGCAGCGAAAATGAGTCTGGAGCTGTTGGTAATTATGGTGGTTCCATATGGTATCATGTTAGCCACTGTGGGCTTTATCCTATAGCTCAGTGTTCCTGAAATTATCCTCATGGCTTTTGTCAAATCTGTGTTCCACCTGAACTATTAATTGTTATTTTAATTTAAATTTTTTAAATATTTTTTTTTTATTTTTTAGAGAGAAAGAGAGAGAGGGAGGGAAACACAGAATCTGAAGCAGGCTCCATGCTCTGAGCTGTTAACACAGAGCCCAACAAGGGGTTTGAACTCACGAACTGTGAGATTATGAAAAGGGCTGAAGTCAGACACTTAACCAACAGAGCCACCCAGGCGCCCCTTGAAACTTTAATTTGAAACATCTCACTTTTTACAATGTAATACCTACTTTAGCTTATCCCTAGCAATATCTATGAAGATATGCGTTTGAAATGACAGTTATATCTTTGTAATAGGCATTTAAAAATACGTAACTAGGGGCAGGCATCTGAGTGGCTCAGCTGGTTAAGTGTCCAACTCTTGGTTTCAGCTCAGGTCATGATCTGGTGGTTTGTAGGTTTGAGCCCCATATTGGGCTCTGTGCTGACAGTGTGGAATCTGCTTGGTATTCTCTCTCTCCCTCTTTCTGCACCTCCTCTGATTGTTTGCTTTCTCACTCAGAATAAATAAATAAACATTTAAAAAATAAAAATAAAAATGGGCACCCTCCTACACTGTTGGTGGGAATGTAAACTGGTACAGCCCCTCTGGAAAACAGTGTGGAGGTTCCTCAGGAAACTAGCAATAGAACTCCCCTATGACCCAGCAATAGCACTGCTAGGAATTTACCCAAGGGATACAGAAATGCTGAGGCATAGGAGCACATGTACCCCAATGTTCATAGCAGCACTCTCCACAATAGCTAAAACATGGAAAGAGCCTAAGTGTCCATCAACAGACGAATGGATCAAGAAGATGTGGTTTATCTATACCATGGAATACTACATGGCAATGAGAAACAATGAAATCTGGCCATGTGTAGCAACATGGATGGACCTTGAGGGTGTTATGCTGAGCGAAATAAGTCAGACAGAGAAGGACAAATATCATATGTGTGCACGTATAGGAGGATTAGGAGGAACTTGATGGAGGAACAAGGGGGAGAAGAAGGGCGGAAATGGTGGGGGAAAGGGAGAGAGGCAAACCATGAGAGACTCTTGAATGCTGACAAAAACTGAGGACAGATGGATGTGGGGGGGAGGGGGGATGGGCATGGAGGAGGGCACTTGTGGGGATGAGCACTGGGTGTTATGAGGAAACTAATTTGACAATAAACTATTTGTAAAAAAATATAAATAAATAAATAAATAAATAAATAACATTTATTCAAGATAGACATAGCACCCCTGGAGAAAGTGATGGGGAAGGAGGGCTCTGGATGGCAGGAAATTGACATGATTGGATTTGTTTTTAGATAGAGTTTGAATTTTGAGGGATGGATAAGACTGAAGTAAAAAAAATCATTTAGGAGGCAAATGATCACATGAGAAAAAAAGACAACATGAACTGGGGAAGTGATAATAGAGACAGAGAAGAACAGAATCAAGAAGCATAGAAAGCAGCATCAGCAAGGTCTTAGTGACTGATTAAATGTACAGGCAAAAGGAAGAGTCTAGGACAACTCCCAGGCAGAGTACATAATGAGGGAAAAAGTACAAGCAAGAATAGGCTTGGTGGAGGAAAAGGTAAAGTTTAGTTTTGGATATGCTCAGTTTATAAAGCCTATTGAATAACCAAACTAAGATGTCCAACAGGTTTTTAGATGTACAAATCTGAAAGTACAGGTGATGACACAGACCAATGAACTATGAGCATATATGTGCTAATAAAAACCTACAGAATGAAGTCTCCAAAAATAAGGACATAATTTAAGGGAAATACCGAGCAAACAAGCAACCCCAGTTATCAAGTATCAAGAAAGAGAACCCCAGGAAGGAACCCAACAAGGAATCATTAGAAAGATAAGATGAGAAGAACCAGGAAAGAATGGTATCAGAGAAGCTGATAAACAACAAGAAGGGACTGATTAATAACTTCAAATGTAGAGCACCTGCATGGCTCAGTTAAGTGTCTGACTTTGGCTCAGGGCATGATCTCTCAGTTTGTGAGTTTGAGCCCTGCATCAGGCTCTGCACTGCTAGTGTGGAGCCTGCTTGGGATTTTCTCTTTCTTCCTTCCTTCCTTCCTTCCTTCCTTCCTTCCTTCCTTCCTTCCTTCCTTCCTTCCTCCCTCCCTCCCTCCCTCCCTCCCTCCCTTCCCTCCTTCCTTCCTTCCTTCCCTCCTTCCTTCTTCCCTTCCCTTCCCTCCTTTCTTTCTTCTCTCTTTCTCTCTCTCTCCCTCTCTCTCTCTCTCTCCCCCTCTCTGCACCTTCCCCACTTGCGTGCTCTGTCTCAAAATAAATCAACAAAACTTTAAAATTTTTTAATAAAATAAATAATCTCAAATTCTCCAGACATCGAGTAAAAATCAGTGTTGTTTTATGTACAATGTTATTTTCCTAACTAGATTTATGTCAGCTATTTTGAGTTTTATTTATTTTAATTTAAAACTTTTTACTCATTCATTCATTCCCTTGTTTAAATTCCGGTATAGTTAACATACAGTGTTTTATTAGTTTCAGGTGTACAATACAGTAACTTAACAGCTCTGTATATTACTTAGGACTCATCAAGGGAAGTGTACTCCTAATCCCCTACACCTATTTCACCCATCCCCCCACCTGCCTCCTCTCTGGTAACCATCAGTTTATTCTGTATAGTTAGGAGTCTGGTTTTGGTTTGTCTCTTTTTTTCTTTGTTTTGTTTCTTAAATGCCACAGATGAGGGAAATCATATGGTATACAAACATAATTGGACATTACTCAGGCATAAAAAAGAATGAAATCTTGTCATTTGTAACAACATAGATGGACCTAGAGAGTATAAGGCTAATAAGTGAAATAACTTCTATAAAACTTTTATTTCTTATTAGTAGCAGTCCTAATGTAATATCTTACTCAAAGGAAGCCCTCAAAAAATGTCAGTTGTGAGAATAAGTATTTACTTGCTTCAACAAATAACAGAAACATATTCTCCATGCACAATACGGTCTTGAAACTGTGATAAACATGAATGGTGTACTTATCTTGAATAGTTACCTGTACAAAAGCAACTCCTGTCATCAGAATGACGAGGGAGAGCCACTGGTACACACCTAATTTTTTACTAAGCATAGACACAGAAAATAATGCTGTCGTAAGAATTTTCAACTGATATGTGACCTGAAAAAGAAAATAGCTAACATTATTGCTTGTTTGTTTGCTTCTTAAAAGAACTACTAGAAATATATTTTAAGTACCTGATAAGTAGCTGCATCCAGATTTGACAGTGCCACATAGAGTAAATTATTCTGAAGAGTATATATCCCTGATGGAATAGCAAGTTTCAGCGTTTCCATAGGTTTATTAAGTATTTCATCATGTAGTATTCGATTCAGTGCTCTTAGACTACATTCTAGAAAACACATGAAATGGATAAAACCAGTAATTAACTCTGAATAAGTTACATACTTTTAAGGCCTCAGTTTTCTCACCTATAAAAAATGGAAACAGACCTACATGTTAAGACACTTTTAGGTCTGAAATATACCATTAATGATATTAATTTTTCAAAAGTTAAATATTATAACACATAAATTAAGAACATCATCCTTATATTCTTTCATTAGGAAATACAAGCAAATTGATTATATATGTATTTACATATATACACATATATATCTGCACATATATATTTATGATCACCAAAAGCTCAAAGCATTAATTTTTCAGCTAAGTATTCTTACTCTATAGTAGCAAAATTATAAAAACTTGAATTTTATGTATTCCATTTTATCACCAGCCATTCAAGCCAATTAATAATTGTGGAGACTTTAATTATAAAAGACAGTAAAACAACTAGAGAGTGTGTTTGGCTGCAAACAACAGAAAACTCAACGAAAACTGGCTCAACCTCAAGGAGATCTGTCTCATCCTCAAAGGGCCAGGGCCAGGTCCAAAGCTGCTAGAGCAGCTCAGTGATGCCGTCAGGGTCCTAAGCTCTCTCTCCATTTATATTGGCTTTTTACCTTCATGCTTCTCATCTACGTCCACAGGACTATTGCAACAAGGTCACCAAATGATCACTGCAGTTCTGCCTGGTTCTTGTTTTGAGGAAGCAAGAAAGAGCAGGAGGATACGGTGACCTAGTGGGCACCTTGTCTGCCCTCACAGACCAGGGTTTTGTTGCACAGCTACCCGCTGCGGCAAGGGAGCTGGGCAATGTAGTCTTTCTTTCATATTCTCCATAGTAGAAATAACAAAGGGAGAAAGGGGGTGGAAATGGACTTCGAGCTAGCCAGCCTACAGTAGTAATCACAAAATAATGTCCAAAGAACTTTGAGAGTTACATAGAGCCCTAAAACCAGGAGAAATCTAAGGATCCTACTACTTTACCAACAATGACACTTCATAGCTGATTTTCTCTCCTAACGTAAAACTTGAAATCTTTGATTATGAAAACTTTCTTTAAAATGGAAAAATTGGGGCGCCTGGGTGGCTCAGTAGGTTAAGCGTCCGACTTTCGCTTGGGTCATGATCTTGCGGTTCGTGGGTTCGATCGTGGGTTCGAGCCCCGCGTCGGGCTCTGTGCTGACTGCCGGCTCAGAGCCTGGAGCCTGTTTCAGAGTCTGTGTCTCCTTCTCTCTCTGACCCTCCCCAGCTCACGCTCTCTCTCTCTCTCTCCTAGAAATAAATAAAAATATTAAAAATATATATATCTGATATTTATCCTTTCCTTACTCTAAAATAATAGTAAAATAAAAGATAACTAAAAGTTACCAAAAGATTTCTTCTTAGATTTAATAGGAAAAAAATCTAAAATGTTAGCTTATTTAAACATTTTTTAAATTAAATTAAAATTTTAAATAATTAATGCTATCACATATTTTTCTCAACAGGAGTTTAGGAAAGTCTTGTTCCATATTCCTTCCAATTCTTGATATTGCTAGACTTTTTCCTTTTGCCAATCTGAGGGTACTGAAATCGAGTCTGTGGCTTTAATTTGATTTCTCTGCTTGCTAGTAAGGTTGATCTATATTCATATATTTTAAAAATATTTATGTAAATATATTTTCATGTTTTTGTTTTTAAAAATTTTTAATATATTTATTGGCCATTCATGTTTCTTTCTTTTTTTTTTTTAAGTTTATTTGAGAGCGAGAGAGCATGTGTGCACAAGCAGGGGAGGGGCAGAGAGAGAGGGAGACAGACTATGAAGCAGGCTCCAGGCTCTAAGCTGCCAGCATAGAGCTCAAAGCGGGGCTCACAAACCTGGCTGAAATAAGACACTTAAGTGACTGAGCCACCCAGGAGGCCCCAGGTTTCTCTTCTGTAAACTGCTTATTTATATTCTTTGTTCACTTTTCTGTTGAGCTGCTTGTCTTTTCCTTATTGAATTATATAAGTTCTTTGATGTTCTGGATGTTCATAATTGGTAGTTACACATGATGTAAATATCTTCTCTCAGTTTCTGGCTTATCTTCTCATTTGGTTCTATATACAGGCATTTTTTCATTGTAACATACCCCAAATTATCCATTTTTTATTTTTTTATTTATTTATTTTTAAAATATTTTTATTTATTTCTAGGAGAGAGAGAGAGAGAGACAGCGTGAGCAGGGGAGGGTCAGAGAGAGAGGGAGTCATAGACTGAAACAGGCTCCAGGCTCTGAGCTGGCAGTCAGCACAGAGCCCGACGTGGGGCTCGAACCCACTAACCACGAGATCATGACCTAAGCGAAAGTCGGACGCTTAACCGACTAAGCCACCCAGGCGCCTCTATCCATTTTTTAAAAGTTCGTTTGTATTCTTTGTATATTATTTAAAATAATTCACAATACCAAGGTCATAAATATCAATCTTTCATCTACCTAGAAATTTTTTTTTAAGGACTCTAACTCATAACCCTGAAATAGAGAATTGCATACTCTATCAACTGAGCCAGCCGGGGGCCCCTGGAATTTATTTTTGTGTATGTATGACTATCTGTACTTCACTTCACTGAGAGTTGGTTTTACTGCCTCTCTCAACAATGCCAACTACTCATGTCAGAGGTAATTTTGGCTCTACAATGCTAAATGAATGGATACTTCCATTGTTCTAGATCTTAGCAACAAAAATACTACTTCCTCATCTTTCCTATTACATTTACATGTATTTTATTCTACTTTACTGGTGACTCAGTCTTCTTTTGCTAGTTTTTCCTTCTCAAACTGACCTCTAAATGTTAGAAATGCTACAGACCTTGGTTTTTGGCCTTTTCTTCTTAGTATTTACTAAATTACTTCATCCAATCCTTGACTTTAAAGAATTATATAAGGTGACAAATTCTTGCGCTCCATATTCATATATTCCACTAATCAACATCTTCATTTGAATGCCTTATAGGCATCTCAAATTTGACATGGCGTAAAAAGAAAGCTTAATTTCCTCTTAACTTATCTTCTATATATCATTTACTGTAATACCTATTCACCCAGTAATTTAACCTAAAAACCTGGGAATTATTCCTCAGACTGGATTCCCCATTTCCTTGACCTACACACACCTACTCTATTAGCAAGTCATGTCAGCTGTAGCTTAAAAAACATTTATGTGAACCAAATCAATGCCATCTTGGACAAACCTGCTGTAAAGGCCCCACTCCCCCAAAACACATGCACACACGCATACACACACACACACACACACTCTGTCCTTTTGTTTAACCACACCTTTAAGCACACCCTTGAGATATAATGTCCATGATCTATCTTGGAGATATGACTGACACATACCTATACTTAAACATTTTCCTCTTGGACTGTCCCCCAACATGTGCTCCTCAGCCTCTAGGGCTATAAAAGCAGGTCTTCAGGGAGATGATGTTGCAGAGATCTACTCCTCTTGCAGCCACCCAAGACACCCTCATCAAGCTGATCTGTCAGCCTTTTTCTTTAGTCTTTGAGGTCTTTCAGCCTTTGGAGGTTGTTTTGCATATACCTCCTGTTCACAGAACAATATCTCATAAACATCATCTCTTCTCTAGCACTGTAATCTAAGCTACCATCATCTGCTTGCCTGGACTAGCACCACAGCTTCCAAACATGACTTCTTGAACCTATTCTTGCATCTCCTCTACTGTCAATATGGTTGCTGTACTGGTCTATCCATGTGCAAAATGGGACATATTTTAAACATTTCGATTATTTACTTTTGCTTTTATGGTAATATCTGTAGCCCTCAAAGCTGTATTGTATTTTCTGAATGCCAATTCAATCTCTCTTTATTCCGTTCTCGTTCTATATCAATATGCTACAGCCATACCGGCCACCATGATAGATTTAAAAGTATACCAAATTTACAAACAATTAAAAAATGGGCAGCAGACTTGAACAGACATTTCTTTAAAGATAAACAAATGGTCAATAAGCACATGAAAAGATGCTCGATGTCATTAGAGAAAATCAAATCAAAATAAGATACCATGTCACACCTACTACAATGACTATACTTTTTATTTTATTATTTTATTTTATTTTATTTTATTTATTTTATTTTATTTTATTTTATTTTATTTTATTTTATTTTGAGAGAGAGGATGAATGCACATGTGGGGGTGGAGAGAGATGAGAGAGAGGAAAAGAGAAAATCCCAAGCAGGTTCCATTCTATTAGAGGAGAGCCTGACACGGGACTCAATCTCACAACTTTGAGATCATGACATAAGCCAAAATCAAGAATTGGTCATTCAACTGACTGAGCCACGTGGCATCCCTATACATTTTCTTGTTTTGAAAATAACAAGTGTTGGTGAGGATGTAGAGAATGTTCAGCCCTCGAACATTGCCAGTGGGAATATAAAATGGTGCAGTAGCTGTGGAAAAGTTTGGTGGCTCTTCAAAAAGTTAAATGCAGGAGTGCCTGGGTGGCTCGGTTGGTTGTGTCCAACTTTGGCTCAGGTTATGATCTCATAGTCCATGAGTTCAAGCTCCACATTGGGCTTTGTGCTGACAGCTCGGAGCCTGGAGCCTGCTCTGGATTCTGTGTCTCCATCTCTCTCTGCCCCTCCACTGTCTCTCTCAAAAATAAATAAACATTAAAAAAAAAAGTTAAATGCAGAATTACCATGTGACTGAATAATTATACTCCAAAGTATATACTCAAAAGTTATGAAAGCAGGGACTTGAGCAGAGACTTATGCCTCTATTGCAATATTAATTATTCAGTGTTCATTACAGCATTATTCACAATAACCAAATGTTGGAAAAAACTTAAGTGTCCATCACTATATTAATGGCTACAATGTTACACACACACACACACACACACATACATATACATACAATGAAATATTATGTAGTAATAAAAAAAATAAAGTTCTGGGGTGCTGAAGTGGCTCAGATGGTTAAGTATCTGACATTTTGAAAAATTTTTTAAATTTATTTCTGAGAAAGAGAGAGACAGTGTGAGCAGGGGAGAGTCAGAGAGAGAGGGAGATACAGAATCCAAAACAGGCTCCAGGCTCTGAGACAGCTGTCAGCACAGAGCCCAAAGTGGGGCTTGAACTCACAAACTGTGAGATCATGACCTGAGCCGAAGTCAGATGCTTAACCAACTGAGCCACCCAGGTGCCCCATGTATTTGACCCTTGATTTGGGCTCAGGTCATGATCTCACAGTTCATGTGATCGAGTCCTGCATGGGACTCTGCACTGACAGCATGAAGCCTATTTGGGATTGTCTCTCTCCCTCTATCTCTGCACCTCCCCGCCCACCCTCGCTAATGCATTTTGTCTCTCTCTCTCTCTCTCTCTCAAAATAAACATTAAAAAAAAGGAATAAAGTTCTGATACATGTTACAACATGGATTAACCCTTTGAAAACACTGTCTAAAATAAGCCAGACATAAAAGGAAAAACACTGTATGATTCTACATAGATGGAAAATCTAGAACAGGCTAATTCATAGAGACAGAGAGTAGAATAGAGGTTTCCAAGTGCTGAAGATAAAAGGAAATGGGAATTATTATTTAATGGTTATAGAGTTTCTGTTTGGTGTGAATGAAGTTTTAGAAATAGTGCTAGTGGTTGTACAACATTGTGAATATAATCCATGCCACTGAATTATACTTAAAAATGGTTAAAGTTGCAAATTTTGATATACAGGTGTGTGTAAAAATATATTTTCCTAGAATTTCAAAGAATTAATAATGTAATATACCCCAAAATAAAGAATTTTATACTTCAAAACCTATGAATTATGTATCAATAAAGCTGTCTTTTTTCTTAAAATGTATCAAATTAGTCACCACTGGACTAACCAATGCAACAAGTAATATAAAAAGGCTTGACTTTTTAGTCAAAAGTCAAAAAATTAGGGGCGCCTGGGTGGCTTAGTCGGTTAAGCGTCTGACTTTCGCTTAGGTCATGATCTCACGGTTCGTGGGTTCGAGCCCCGCGTCGGGCTCTGTGCTGGCTGCCAGCTCGGAGCCTGGAGCCTGTGTCAGTCTGTGTCTCCCTCTCTCTCTGACCCTCCCCTGCTCACGCTGTCTCTCTCTCTCTCCTAGAAGTGGATAAAACATTAAGAAAAAAAAGAAGTCAAAAAATTAGTAAAAAAATTATGACTTCTCTAAATCTCTAAAAGTTAGAGAACTATATAAAATTTACTTATTGTCAAATTATTATAAATGCAAGAAGCTATATTTCATATTTACAGCATTAACTGGAAGACATGAATCATGATATAAATCAGAATAAAATGTCTTTGTTACTAGACTAAAATTGTCTTAAGAAAATAAAAAATGTTCTTAACAGTAGAACATTAGATAAGGTAATGATGTTCAAACGTGTAATTAACAATATACATTTATTTATATATCATACATAAATAACACTAAAATAATCAAGTAAATTGCAATGACTTGAAAATAGAAAACCAAAACGCTTACTGCTATCTTTGTAGACTAATAAAATGCAGGCCATTATTTTCAAAAGTTCAGCAACAACCACTGCTGTAGAAGACAGATAACGAGGTCCCTCTTCTTTTAAAGTCCTAGAATAACGCATCGTTAGAACCAAACTAGTAGTCTGAAAGACCAAAATTCCCAAGGAAAGGTATTTTAGGTTGGAGGACATTGTTTTCTCTTCATTTGCCTGAAAAACAAAATAAGCAGGGCAAATAAACAAAATTAGAAAATACAGAAACATTTATTAAAAATCAGTATGAGATTTCTATTTCCAGACCAAATTGAGTACGTGCATTCCACCCTTTTCCTGCTAATTATAACTATAAACCCTGGACCAAAGACAAGAAGTAACTACAAGAAGACTCAGGAAGGTGAAGAAAATAAGACAAACAGGCTAGAAACCCCAGACCTTTTTTTTTTTTTTAATTTTTTTAAGTTTATTTATTTATTTTGAGAGAGAGAGAGAACACAAACAGGGGAGGGGCAGAGAGAGAGAGAGGAGGACAGAGGAGCCAAAGCAAGCTCTGTGCTGAAAGCAGAGAACCTGAACTGGGGCTTGAACTCACAACCCATGAGATCATGACCTAAACTGAAGTCAGATGCTTAACAGACTGAGGCTGGAGAGGCTAAATTATGATCAGGCAAAAACAATTATATAAGAATTATTTCTAGAATTAAAGAAGTATATTTCATAATGATAAAAGAGTCAATACATCAGTAAGATACAACCAGTACAAAAGAGTATGTGCCTAATAACATAGTTTCAAAATACATGGAACAAAAACTAACAGATTAAAAATCAAACAAACAGAGGCGCCTGGGTGGCTCAGTCGGTTAAGCATCAGACTTTGGGTCAGGTCATGATCTCAGTGTTCATCGGTTCGAGCCCCACTTCGGGCTCTGTGCTGACAGCCAGCTCAGAGCCTGGAGCCTGTTTCGGATTCTGTGTCTCCCTCTCTCTCTGACCCTCCCCTGCACACACTCTCTTTCTCAGAAATAAACAAAACATTTAAAAAACTTTTTTAAAAAAACAGGTAAACCCATAAGTCATAAGGTGAGATTTTAACCTGTTTTCAGTAATTAATAGAATACACACCAAAACCCCCCAGTAAGAATACAGAAGATCTGAACAACAGTATCAACCACCATAACTCTTGCAAACATGGAGATGCTCCACCAAGTGCCTCTTTTAAGGACTTAACACAGTATGTGTGATCAGTTTATTTCTCCTCCACCCATCATTTGCTTCCAAATGATATTAAGGTTCAATGCAATCCCAAGCAAAATCCCTATAGGCTTTTTTGATAGAAACTGACAAGCTGATTTTAAAATTTATATGGAGGGGCACCTGGGTGGTTCAAGGCTTGAACATCCAGCTCTTGATTTCAGCTCAGGTCATGTTCTCACAGTTTGTGAGATTGAGCCCCGTGTCGGGTTCTACACTGGCGGCACAGAGCCTGCTTGGGATTCTCTCTCTCCCTCTCTCTCTACCCTTCCCCCACTCATAAGCACTCTCTCTCTCAAAATAAACTTTATTTAAAAAAAATTTCTTTTTCTTGTTTTTATTTATTTCTGAGAGACAGAGAGAGATTGTGCACAGGGAAGGATCAGAGAGAGAGGGAGACACAGAATCTGAAGCAGGCTCCAGGCTCTGAGCTGGCTGTCAGCACAGAGCCCCGATGCGGGGCTCAAACCCATGAACCCTGCGGTCATGACTTGAGCCAAATTTGGATGCTTCGCTGACTGAGCCACCCATGTGCCCCTCAAAATAAACTTTAAAAATAAAATAAAATTTATATGGAAATGCAAAGGACCTAGACAACCAAAACAATTTTGAAAAGAAAAAACAAAGAAGTTAAACTGAAAGTCCACACTTTCTATAAAGCTCTAGTAATTAAAACTGGTATTGACACAGGACAGAAGTATAGATCAGTGGAACAGACTATAATCCAGGAGTAAGTCCATACATATTTGGTCAAATGACTTTGACAATGGTAACAAAAAGAAATAATTCTAGAACGAGACAACTACATTTTTTATTTTTTTAATGTTTGTTTATTTTGAGAGAGAGAGAGAGAGAGAGAGAGCATTCATGTGCATGTACCTTTGAGAAACAGAGAGAGGGAGAGAATTCTAAGCAGGATCCGCACTGTCAGTGCAGAGCCCTATATGGGGCTTGGTCCCATGAAAGGTGAGATCATGACCTGAACTAATATCAAGACTCAGACACTTAACCAACTGAGCCACCCAGGTACTCCATTTTTAAATGAATCTCTATACTTATTTATCTCACACCAAATATTTAACTAGAAATGAATCACAGACCTGTCTTAAAAGCTAAAGCTATAAATATTCAAGAAGAAAACAAGAGGAAAATTTAGCCACATAGGAATATGCAAAGATTTCTTAGATACAAAAACCACAAACCACAAAAAAAAAAATATGGATAAATTGGATATCATCAAAATTTAAAACTGTTCTTCCAAAGATACTATAAAAATAGAGGCAAACCACATCAGAGGTGAAAATATTCTCAATACATCTCTTGGAGAATGGCCTTGTGTCCAGAATATACACAGAACTCTTACAATACAGTAAGTACAAGACAAACAACCCATGAGCAAAAGATTTGAATAGATACTTCATCAAAAAAGACAAATGAATGACTAACAGGCACATGAAAAGATGTTTGACATCATAGTCATTACAGAAACACAAATTAAAACCACAGTGAGATACCATTATGTAACTACTAGAATGGCTAAAATTGTAAAATTGATGCTACCAAGCAATGGAATGGATTTAGAGCAAATAGAGGTCTTAACATTGCTAGTGAGACTACAAAGTGATACAACCACTTGAACAACAGTTCGGTAGTTTATTTTTTAAAATATTAATAATCTTTTCATATGACCTAGAAATTCCACTTTTAGGTATACTCGAGAGATCTGAAAACATTTATCAATAATGCTTGTATATAATTATTCATGTGAGTTTTATTTGTAACATCCCAAAACTGGAAATAACCCAAATGCCCATTAACAGGTGAATTACTAAACATACTGTGGTACATCCATATGATGGAATACTATTTAGCAATAAAAAGAAATGAAATACTGATGTATGGTAAAACATTAATGAATCTTTTTTTTTTTTAAATATTTTTTATTTATTTCTAGGAAAGAGAGAGAGAGAGAGACAGCGTGAGCAGGGAAGGGTCAGAGAGAGAAGGAGACACAGACTCCGAAATAGGCTCCAGGCTCCGAGCTGGCAGTCAGCACAGAGCGCGACGCGGGGCTCGAACCCACAAACCGCGAGATCATGACCTAAGCGAAAGTCGGACGCTTAACCGACTAAGCCACCCAGGCGCCCCTAAAACATCAATGAATCTTAAAAAGAAATTGAGCAAAAAAGTTTGTAGACAAACTGTATACACTATATGATCCATTTATATGAAATTCTAAAAAGAGCAAAAGTAATTTGCAATGACAGATGCACATTTGTGGTTGACTGTGGCCAGGGATTGACTGCAAAGGGATAGCAAGGAATTTTTGGTGACAGTGGAAATATTCTGTATCTTGATTGTGTGATGGTTATACAATTGTATTCACTTATTGTAACTCACTGAACTGTACATTTAAAAAGGGTACATCTTAATGTGTGTAAATCACAAATCAACAAAATTGATTAAAGATTCAGAACAGGGGTGCCTGGGTGGCTCAGTTGGTTATGCATCCGACTCTTGATTTTGGCTCAGGTCATGATCTCATGGTTCATGGAGTTTGAGCCCCAAGGAGGGCTCTGTGCTGACAGTACAGAACCTGCTTGGGATTCTCTCTCTCCCTTTCTCTCTCTGCCCCTTCCCCACTCGTGTGCACATGCATATGTACACTCTCTCTCTCTCAAAATAAATTGGATATCATCCAATCTGGATGATATATGGATATCATATTGGATAAATATGGATATAGTAGCATACTTTGCTTCTGGCTCTAATTTCTTTGGATTAATACCAATGATGTTCTGTTTGTCTACAGGCCAATTCTATCCTTTCTGTGATTCCATCTTCCATTCTAAGTTTTGTTAATATGAACCCTCTTTATTATATATCTCTTTATAGTTCTCACAACCAAACCACCATTTATGGTTCTAGTTATATGATCCTTTGTCTTTTCTCACCTCATAATTATTAAAATAGCATATAATATATTCAAACAGATTCAACAGTCATTATTTGGTGCCTATACTAGGCCAAGTACCATGGTAACAGAGAGAGCCTATCCTTGAAGGAACAAAGTCTAGCTTATTAAATTTAGCAGTTCCTATCTCAAATTGAATATGCTCCAAATCCAAACAATGTAGCACCATAAATATGAGGATAAAATTTTCAATAGTGAAAAAAAATGATTGGAAGAAATTACCTTAAGTACTTCATCTGAATTTCAGAGAGAAAATATGAATGATATATCTCTTTTTGTTGTATATAAATTAGAGCATCAGGCCCAGAGGAAAGAATACACAGATTTATGTATTAACCACCTCACTTTTGTACATATGCATTAGCAAGAATCCTAATGTGACATGAAATTACAGCATTTTAGGGAGAGAAGATGCTTTAGAAATCATCTAGCACAAATCTCTTCATTTTATTATTTTTTATTTCTTCATTTTAAAATGAAGAAAATAGTGGACAGAGAAGTTAGATGGCTTGTTCAAGGTCATATAATTACTAATTGGAAATATTAAGTTATATAGTTAAATATCAGATTTCTTAGCTCTCACTACATGTAACTGTAGAATTCCAGAGAACATCTGATGGCCTTTATCTCTATATGGAAGGGGTGTGGGTTCCCAGCAATGTACATTTGACATAGGCATCTGATTCTCCTGATTCTCCTGGAAAATCTACTCAAGAAAGTCTTTTGTTTACTGTGCAACTAAGACCATAAAATGTACCTGTTATAACAGCAGTGCTCTAGTTTCTTTTCAAATGAAAATTTAAAGGTCAGATTCTAAGTCAGAATGTACTATCTTTACTACTTTGCTTTTCGATTTCCAAACATGTACAACAACATCAATACATTGGCCTTGATAATTCAGATCTTAAGCATTAATAGTTACAATGTATTTTTTTAAGTATGTGAGATAATAGAAAAAAATATATATTGGTCTTTGCCCCTAGCTCTT